ACAAGTCATCCTCGATCCAAATAATTAAATAAATAAACTGCACTCACTCTAACACTTTATTTATAATTCAAAATATTAACCTCACAAAGCATTAAGTTTAATCATTTGCTTTCAATTTGCTCCGATCCCGAAATTTATCTCAATTTTGTACTCTAGCAGTTTGCACTACTTTCAAAGAAATATTATTTTGTATTAATATACACACTTAACAATTATTCCACTTATTCCATTGAAAACTATAATCGAATACAAATCTAACCATATAAGACTCTTCTTCTAGTTCAATTTGTACAATTTATAGTAAATTTCCAAAACTGACTTACAAAAGCTGTTTTTGAACATAATCTGCTACCATGTTTTCTGACCTATCATTGATTAAATATTCCTATTTTTTATACTTCTAAAAATCAGTAGATTGTTTCTTTTAAATGAAACTATACTGATATACGAATCTAATAGTATAAAAATCATCTTCCAGACATTTTTGTAGAATTTATGGTGATTTCCTAATCTTACTATTCAGCTCACAAATCTAGGCAAATTTCACTACTTTGCATCTCTAGCTTATTTATTATTGTTATTAGCTTACCAAATTAACATATACGAATGAATCACAAAATTTCATAAAATTCAGGAGTCACTTCTTATTATAGCAACTTCGTCACTAGCTCATCGCGAGTCAATGTTTGTATGATAACATAAATACTAATTAAATATGTACTCACATGATTTCTTTAGCTTGTAAACCTTCCTTAGTAGTGCACATTCATCCTTAAGCTTCTCCTTAGCTTTAATATTGCTTAATCTTAATTTCAATCGTAATATAAATGGTCACCATTTACAAAACATAAACATTTCAAACCACATGCTAGAATATTACCAACATAGACACACAATAGAAAAATAAATTCTTAAAAATCTTATGGTACTCATTCGATACTAATTTCTTGTTACAACATAAATGTTGATCTTAAAGCTCCAAATTGACCATTCAAGTCCCTTTTTATCCATATTCATCACAAAGGCACACAACATTTTCAAACTTCACATTTAACCATTAATTATGAATTCTTTTAGAATTCATCTCAACTTTTCTATTTAACTCATAATTGTCCTTCACCATTATGATCACTTCAAATTAATTAATAAAATTTCCAGAATATAATTCCAGCAGAATACCTCAACATTTACACCATTTTCACTTATGTCACTAAATTTTCCATATTTGTAATTTAGTCCTCAAACTTCACCAACTTTCCAAAATGATTCAAATTTCACATTCAAACATCAAATTCAACATTCTAACTTTCAATTCCAGCATAGTACACCATGTTTTTAACATTTTCATATTAATCCTTAAACTATTCATAATTGCTTAATAAGTCCCTATACTTTTAAAAAAATTGTAAAATGATCCCAAAACTTTCTAAAGTATGTAGAATCCTTCCTACATCATTTCTAACCCTTGTATCATTTTCCATAATTTTTATCACCTCAAAAACCATGGCAGAAATTTATAGGATAGGGTTTTCATGGTTTCCAACTTTGTTTCAAGCATGGATTCAACCTCTAAACAGCGTTTCAAAGCTTCTCCAATCAAACCCCTAATATAATTTAACCAAATCACAAATACTTCAAAACCCTAGGTTTAAGCCGAACATGATTAAGCTTGATTTCAAATGTTTAATCATCACACTTGCTTTAGAAATAATGTATAACATCAAAAACATAATAATCTTCTATCAAATCTTCAAAATCAAACATGTCCTTCATAAAACCTAATCTCCAATCTCATCATATAATCATGATTTCCATGTAAATTTTATACCAAATTATAGAGAATTTCAAGAGGATTAATTCTCTCTCTAATAGCTAAATCCAAAAATCAACCAATTAAACTTAAAAATAAAAACAAATTTTCTCGTTACCTATCTATGGGGGTGCACGACTTGAGCAAGAAGAGGGGCTGAATTTTTTTGATTTCTCTTCATAATTAACATAAACACTTGTCTATATTTAATATAAATGAATTTAAAATTCATTTAATTGGAAATTACCATTTTAACCTTACTAAAATAAGATAATTTCCACTTTGCCATTTCCATAATATCATCGATGACACCATCTTATCTATATCATCTTCAAAGTCAAAGATGAACAAATAAAAATCCACTTTCTACCATTTCCCTGTCAAATTTTTGAAAACAACAATTTAGTCACTAAAATTTTCAATTTCAACTAAATATGGAAATCAACTTCAATTCCACTGATCCACATTAAATTTCACTGTTCTAAATTTGGAAATAATATTTCCAACACTTATCTATTATTCTTCAAATTTTCGTGAAATTTTGATTCGATACGATTATCCAATTCTATACCAAACTTTACTGCCTTATAGTTTTTAATACAAATCCTATACTGAAATTCTGATTCCCACGAAAACGTCATTCTTGCGGATGAACTATTCATTTATGTTATAAAATTTCTTTTCAAAAAATTACAACTTTTGTTCCTAAACTTTTCCAAACTTTATATTTTGGCCACTAAACTTTTAAAATTTATATTTTGGTCACTAATCAAAATTTGGGGTAATACACCTTTATTCAACTAAAAGAACTATTCTTTAATATATCAATTAGACTCAACTATTGCTCAATCCCAACCCTAGAGACAGTCGATAACTAGTCAGAGGAGGCTTGGTCCTCCAAAGTTTTGGAAAATTAGTATTCAGTCTCTTTCAAAATTTAAATTTTTTATTAAATTTAATTTTTTAAAAATATTTTTAATTAAATATTTTTAAATTCTAAAAAATAGTTTAACCTTACTTGTTTTAGTCTAAAAAATGATTTAACTTGATGAATTGTTGGTAAAAAAGTAAAAAATAACTTTCTCAAATTCAAATCATTTTAAGTTTAGATTATGTTTAAATTTAAATTAATTTTAAATAAAATTAGATTAGCTAGAGTTTGGCTTCGGGTTGATGAAATCGAATTTTATATTCGAGCTTATAATGACGACTTAAAATTATTTATCATTATGTCACTATTTAACATGTCATTAATTTTATTATTTAAAATTAACAAATATAAAATCATAAAAACTTATATATTTTATTAATGTATTAATTAAATTTAAAATACTATATTTTCAGACTGGTGTTTTTATTCAACAACAATTTCCTTTTCAATTAACGTGAACAGCTTTTTCTTTTAATTTTATTATTCAAATCATATTACAACTAAAATTCGTTAAACTTATTTACTTAATGCAAAAGAAACCTAACCCAATGGTATATTAGTATATTGGGTATTAACTTGCTCGGCAAGCAATTAAATGATATATTTAAAAAATAATAATTTAGTTGGGAAATTACGCGATTGAATCCTCTATTATAAATATAGGGTAAAGTATACAAATGGTCATTGAACTTTTTAGATGCTTGAATTTAGGTCCCCTACCTTTTAAAACTTATAATACAGTCACCAAACATTTAGTTCGTTTGCAATATGTTCCCCGACGTAACGGCCGTTTCACTGCCGTTAGGGTAAATTATATAAATGGTCACTGAAGTTTTCAGGCGTTGCATTTAGGTCTCCCAAATTTTAAAAATTGCAACATAATCATCAATTATATTATAAACCCCAAATTTCAAAATACTTCAATTATATGCCCAACCCCAACCCCAACCCCAAATTCATAATCCATTCTCAAAATCTACCATAAAACTGAACTTGGAGCAACAATCCTAAACCCTCAAAACATAACCATAAATACTAAATTTTCTCACCAATTAACCCAACATAATCAACAACATTTAGTTCTTTTTGGGTCCATAACAATATGTGATTATGCTGGGTTTATGATTTTAAAAGTTAGATTTAACCAACTATAAGTGAACAATACTCAATTTGTTTCGAAAAAAATATTTTTCGACTTGAATTGATTCAAAAAATTTGATTCAAATTGACTTTGAGTTATAATTTCATAAACTCAACTTAAAAAAATTTCAAGTTAAAATCAAGCTGTCAAATACAACTTGAATATCTCAAATTGTTTAGTAATTAGTGGATTAATTTTTAAGTTTGAGTTAAGTCCCTTGACTCTGTATGATATATGTATATCACATATGGAAAATATGAAGAAATATATATATTGTATATGGTTAAAAAACTATTTAAATTAGAATAAAATAATATTATAGTATTATAAACATTTATAATTAAATTTAAACAGAAACTCAAAAATTCAATTCAATTCGACTTGATTTAAATTTTATAAACTCAAATCGAAAATTTTTCGAGTAAACTATTTTATAAACTGAACTAAATTAGAATCAAATAATATTATAATATGATAAATATTTATAATTAAATTTAAACAAAAACTCAACAATTCAATTTAATTCGACTTGATTTAAATTTTATAAACTCAAATCGAAAAATTTTTGAGTCAACTACTTTATAAATTGAATCGAGTATTTAGGTCCAACATAACTCTAAACCCAACATAATTACTTGTTGTTCACTTATAGTTGGTTAAATTTTTTTGAAATAGTTATGTTTTGAGGGTTTAGGGTTGCCGTTTCAAGTTCAATTTGTTATGGTAGATTTTGAGAATGAATTATGAATTTGGAGTTGGGCATGTAATTAAAGTATTTTGGAATTTGAGGTTTAGAATGTAATTGAAGTATTTTAAATTTTGGGGTTTAAAATGTAATTGATGATTGTGTTGCAAGTTTTAAAAGTTGAGAGACCTAACTGCAAGCACCTGAAAAGTTTAATGACCATTTATATAATTTACCCTAAAGGCAGTGAAACGACCATTACGTCGAGGATCCATATTGCAAACGAACTAAATGTTTGGTGACTGTACTGTAAGTTTTAAAAGTTGAAAGATATAGATGCAAGAATTTGAAATGTTTAGTGACCTTTTTGTATAATTTACCCATAAATATAAACAAGTCTAGGCATTTCAAGCTTTCTAATCAACAACAAAAACAAAAACAAAATAAAGTGTCTTCAAATTAAAATTAGAAAATCGAGCTAGGGTTTATTTTTTTTTCACAGGAAGAGCGACCTGCAATCGTTGCGAAGAACCAAAGATGCCGAAGAACAAGGGAAAGGGGGGAAAGAACCGAAAGAGGGGAAAGAACGAGGCCGATGACGAGAAACGTGAGCTTATTTTCAAAGAAGATGGGCAAGAATACGCCCAAGTCACCCGCATGCTGGGCAACGGCCGATGCGAAGCTATGTGCATCGACGGCACCAAGCGACTCTGCCACATCCGAGGTAAAATGCACAAGAAAGTATGGATCGCCGCTGGCGACATCATCCTTGTCGGTCTTAGGGATTATCAAGACGACAAGGCTGACGTCATCTTGAAATACATGCCCGACGAGGCTAGGCTTCTGAAGGCTTATGGAGAGCTACCGGAGAATACAAGGTTGAATGAAGGGATTGCTGGCGGCATTGATGAGGAAGATGATGGTGCCGGTGATGATTACATTGAGTTCGAGGATGAGGACATTGATAAGATCTAAAGTTCCTCTTTTTTATTGTCATTTCTGAATTTATTTTAAGGCTCGAAGATGCTATTTGGAATATATTTCTGCTTTATTAAGCACTATGGATGCTGGATTTATGTTATAACACATGGGTTTACCTTTTTATCTTAGATTGTATTATGTTTTCAGATTGTGTTGATTTTAATATTGCAATTGAGTATATGTTGATTTACGAGGAAAGATTGTTGATGATGAAATCTTCGCTTGGCTATTTGCTTTCATGTTATCATCTTCTTCCGAGTAGTTAAGATTTTGATTATGTGATCTCAGGCCTTTAATCCATTGGGGATTTCGATTTTATTTATGAGTTTTATAGTAGTGTTATTTTTCATGATTTATTATCGTAGTGTCGAGCAATTTTTTCAGGTAGAGAAATTCCAGGAAGTCCTGATTCAGATGTTTAGCTTGATGCTCCTGCTCACCTCATTGTCATCTTTGTGTTAGATTTTGATTGTTATACGAAGAATATCGGTTTCTGTTGCCTTCATTGATCATCATTGCAAAACAGAAGCATTGCTGCTGTTTTTGGAAGCATTTATTCACACCATTGTTCGACTGTAACCAAGATGATGGTGACAATTTCATGTGTTTAGTCCTGGATTAAGGTGATATAAATATGTGTTCGATGCAGGTATGCACGATTTCTTTTAAATTTTTTTTTCAGTCTCATGTATGAAACCAGTTTGTTCCTCACTTTATGGACCTTCATATGTATAGTAAAATAGTTGCAATTGAACTACGATATTTTCCAGGCTTAAGTTTCTTGCTAAAGGAATTTATCAAGTTGAATGTACATTTGAATGAAAGAAACGGGCTACTTTCTCTGCATTAAACGTGGCGTATTTGTTTGTTCTAGGAAATTATAGTCATACACACAGAATTGACAAGCTTTTATTCCAGGAACAGGGCAAATATAAAGGTTACAAGAATTCATACAAAGAAACCCTATTATTACAGGACAGGATACAGATTTCTCTTTTACAGGGTAGCATATTTCATTTGCCAATGTTGTGAAACTATTCAGTTCCAGCAATCTTCTTTTTAAGTTCCTCAATATCGGTGGCTAGTTCTTTCCTGCTTGACTGACGAAATAAGCATGTTGTTAGCAAATAGCTTTCTGTTGAAAACCAATAAGAAATTAATTGTAATTTAGTCCAACTATGAAATATAAGCTAAATTTGAGCATTTGTAACTCAAAGGCTGATTCAAAATATACATCATATTCCATTGATTCAGTTGTTAATCTTACCTTGAAGAGAAGGTATCTGTAGACAAACCATGTTGTATATCCAAGTCCAACCAATTCCATGATTTTTGGGAGCTGAGATACATTGGTTTCAGATTTGATTAGCAGTTTTAGTGGAAACAAGTTGGATAGTGTAGCATTAAGAGTTAACTTACCAAGGGGACTGAATTAATGGCACCGACAAGAATAGACAAGAGCCAAACAGAGACTATTGCCCCGCCGCCATAAACAATAACTGTGGACTTGTTCTCGATTTTATCCCACTAGTAAACATAAGCCTAGTGAGTGCCCCAGCACAGGTTAAAAAAGAGCAAGTAATTGATTAATGGTAAGGCCAAGTTTAATCACCTTTTCTTTCAAGTCAGAGAAAAGCTCCCCAGCATCAACAGAGCTCTCCTCTGTGGCTTTTGTTTGGACCAAAGGAAACCTCCGGGATTCTATTTTTCAAGCCAAAAAAAAAAACAAGTAAGAACTATCCAAGTTTTCCAATCCCCCACCGCCAACTCTTAATTTACTTGGCATTTAAGCTTTCGTTTCCTTTCAATAAAATCAAACAGGGAAGAGGACGCAAGGGAAGCAGGCGTTAATGTGAACAGCTGTACCTGGAATTAGCTTAACGGACGAGGAAAGTGGAGCAGTGGAAACACAAGGAGGAAGTGGCATCAAGGCAGAACAGCAGGTGGTTCTTACGGCCGTGGGGACATGTGGGATCAAAACGGCTGTAGCAGCCATGGACGATGCTGCTGCTGCTGCTGCTGCTGCCGCCATTTCTCTCAAATTAAACTATCGCTGCGGCCTGCTGAAATCTACAAATCCTATACTCTGATGCCTTTTGAGTTTACAGTATACTTGCTCGTTTTCCGGTTTATTTTTGTATCAAGTGTACTGGAAGAGAAAAATACGTTAAGAGTTGTTTTTTGGTGGTAGCGAATGGAGTGATGAACACGTGGATAAGAAATTTAATCGAGGATGATGATTGGTTGGTGCCCTATCCATCTGCAATCCCGTTTTGAGAAATTGCCCACTAGAGGCCTCTGTGGACCTAACTTATCCAAAAGAGTCTACGTTTGGGCTTTAGCTGCATTCCCTGGTGGACTCATTGAGCCAACCATGACCCATTGGAATCTTGAACTTTGAACTTCCACCAAAACTGGGTTCAAGTCTAGTTTTGTTTATGTACGTGATATTTTTTTAGGTAAAAGGGTAAATGAGGTCTTCATATTTTCAATAAAAAAAATTAATGTTGTCCTCGTATTTTTTTACATCCAAACCTCTCAAATTTAGAAAATTGACTCAACGTGGTCATTTGACTAACGATTTTTTTCGTAAACCGTTATGGTATTGGTGTAACACTTCACGATGCTAACGTGACAATCCACAATGGTTGGTGATTTGATTGATGTGGTAGATGAGCTAAATTGATTTTTTGGTTGAGTTGAGGGTTAATTTGTTTTTCTTTTAATTCAAGGATTTATTTGATTTTTTTTAGAAAAATATTTTAAATTTTAAAATTTCAATTTAAACTATAAAAATATAGAAAAAATAAATATAAATATAAATATTAAAAATAAAAATTAAATTACTAAATATATATATATATATATACTTAACTAGAATGATTGAAAATGTCATTTAATTCAGAGACGAATTCTAATGTGAATTTATTTTATTTAGCAGAATAATTATACTGTTAATCTCATACATGTCAATTTTAATGTGACTTTTATTTTATTTTTTATTTTATAAAAAACAAATTTTCTAATCCTTGAAAATTTAAAAAAAAATTAGGAATAGAAAAAAATCTCAAATACATGGATTTCATATTTTATGAAATTTATTTTCCTCTATCCTATTTTTTATAATATTTTTTAATTATATATTTTATGACAATTTATACATAGATTTTAATTTTATAACTTTTAAATTTTATTTTTTATAAGACTATAATTTATAATATTTATTTAAAAATTAATGAAAAAACACATTTAAAATTTATGATAATTAGAGGTGAATGTATAAAATAATTTTTTATAGGATGGAAAGTTAATGTTCATATGAACAAAAATTAGGTTAAAATTGAGGTAAAATATATTAATATATTTTTTATTTTTAGTAATTTAAATTTTATTTTTGATATATTATATTTAATTACTTAATAAATATCTATTTAAAATTTATATTTAATTACTTAAAAATATTTTTTTTTATAGTTTTTGTATCTATATATGTATTTTTCTTCTTCTTTTAAATACTTTAATATTCTTTTAATGTTATGTATTATGTACATTAAAGACACATTATATTAAACTAATTTTTAAAGACACGTCGATGTGATTGGCTTAAGAAAAATGATAATATGTCATTAATTAATCTGAATAGTGAGTCGATATAAGCCATAAGGAAAGAGCTTAGGGTTTTTTCCCATTACTCGGGATTTTTTATTTAACCCATTAGAACATCCTGTTTTTTATTTTATTTTGGAGAATACGACAATTGCTACTGTGTAGCTTGAACTCGTCACCTCAGAAATATTTTTTAATGGACACGGATGAGTGGATTCCACGTGAGTCATTAATTTAATGTAATTAATGGGAATCGTCACCTTGAGGTGACAAGTCCATTTACAAAATAGTTTTTTTAAAAATATAAAAATAATGTAAAATTTTGAAAGTAAAAAAAATCAATGGAACTCGTCACCTCGAGGTGACCAATTCCTTTGAATTAAAAAAGTAACCATTTATAGTCGTTGGTCAACGAGCAACAACAACGGTCAACCGTTGGATTTTTAAAATTACAAGTCGTTTATAGCTGTTGAGATTTGGTTATAAATAAGGGTTTAGGTTTTTCACCATCCACTATTATAAAAAATGTTGTGCCTCGGTAATATTCATATTTTGTTGATCGAACTCCTTCCGGAAGAAGAACGAAGCATTTATCAGTGCAGAATGACATCGAGAGATCCGCATCAGCGAATGATGATATATCTTCAACAATCTGGTCTATATCCAGCCATATTTGTAAATGACTTTAAGGTAAAACCGTCATTGATTTCGGCTCAAAGTGAACGTTAAAAGCCTGAGACGCACACTTTCTATTTCCTGAGTTGTGAAACAACGATTACTTTGGAAGACATCACTTACTAACTTGGTGTTCCTGTGAATGGTGCTGCCATCGTGAGGTGGAACGATTACAACCCCATGAGTATTGTCTACGAAGTTTTGGGAAGCTTACCATAATCTGAGGTCTGAGACATGTATCGAATACGGATGACGTGGTTGGAGTCCGAATTTTAAGTGACGGACGACTCTACAGCGGAGGAGGTTATTTTTTGCATCATGAGCATATCTTTTCCAATTGATCAGAGGGGTATTATTACTTGATAAATCCAATAATTTGGCACACACTCAGTATTTGTCTATATTAAATAATATCGCTGAGTGTCGTAATGCTAGTTGGGGCTTGATGATTTTAGCGTTTTTGTACCAAGAGCTTTACAAGGCTGCAATCATCGAGATAGGTTAAAAAACCAATGTAGCAGATTGTCTAATATTACTACAATCCTGGGCTTCGTATCGGTTTCCATTTTTGACACCGATTACATCAGCCCCAGTGGAGTTTCCTCTAGCTGCAAGGAAATTTTTTAATTTATTTTTAATATATTTTTATATGTTTTAATCATTTTTTTTTATTTTTACATTTTCTAGATGGCGCCATAAAATAGTCGAGATGAAGTTGTCAGTTGTGTAACGCCTTGAAATACGGGTTAAGAGTTTCATGTATATTCGATTTGGACCTTAGAATAATTTCCCTTAGCCCATGAAGAGTTTGATCCAAGTGGAATTTGTTTGGGCTTGTGATGAGCACAACAAGCTTTGAAATGGGTGTTTTTAATCTTGATTCAAATGTGGAGGGACTAGGAGGGTAATTAACTCATTAATTCAAAACAAAGTTGAATCTCATTTATGTGGGATTATCTGACATCTGTAAACACTCATCTTTTTCACCCTAAGAGTTTAACTTCTTCCTCTCTTCTTCTTTATCATCTTCCTCTCCAAGCATCACAAAAAGTTGTAAACTTTAGAGTTTCCAAACATCATTTGAAACAACCAAAGAAACAGCTAGAATCTACTCCCTCCAAGCTTCAATTCAAACCCTTAATTTCATGTTTTGGTTGAGTTAGCAAAATTGGGTTTAATTGGGGTTTAGGAAACTATGAGACTTTAATCTATTTTTGGGGAGTTCTGAGCTGTAAAGATTATTCCTAGTACTTCTTTAAACTCTAAAATGAGTAAACAACTCATTATGTTTGTTCTGATTAGTGTAAGAGAAGCAAGAGAGATCTAAAGCAAGAGGCAAAGAGAAATTGGTCATTGGGTGAGTGTAGGATGTTTTTTAGCAGCTTGGAAACAAGGTAACACGATTCTAACTTGACCATACCACATGTAGGTCATTGTATGTGCATATATGGTTTGTTTTGTTCAAGAAAACATGCTAGAGTAACTTGACAATACCATCTTATTTGAAGTTTGTAAGCATTAAAGATGACACCTTTTGACCTCTAAGACATCAAATAAGACTTTAATAAGCTTTGCTAGTCTTAGGAGAGTGAATGGGTCAATTTTAGATGCAATTTCGTACCCAAAATGGGGTATTCAAGGCCGTTGGTATCAATATTGTAAGAATAATACCATTTCTGTTATTTGTATAAGGTAAAAATAAGACAATTTTTAGGGTGAGTATCGATACCCCTTCAAGATTATCGATACTCGGGATCCAATTTTGATACTCAAGGGGTTTCAATACCCGAATTCTAGAGTACAAAAGTGGTATCGATACTTATGAGAGTATCGATACCCAGGGTAGAGTATCGATACTCATGGGAGTATCGATACTGAGGTAATTTTTCTAAACATCGAAGCTATTTTTGGTACCGATACTCAGAGTGAGTATCGATACCCAAGGGTCATTATCGATATTGCTGGCACAATATCAATACCATTGTTGATATTTGGGCAATTTTGTTCAATCAGTTTGGGTGTTCGGGCTTGGGTGTTCTGAGGTTGTATAAGCTAAGTATTCAATACAAGTAAAAACAATCAAGTTAACTAAAATCTCACCTAGAAATCAAGCAAGTTAGGATGACATAAGATTTGCCTTTACATGATGCTCTAGAAACGGTCAGGACACCCGAGCTACTCTAACATTATAACAATAGCCTCTATTTGTGAAATATCAAAATATTGTCTGATTTGGTACAACTCTGATGCAAGTAAAATTTCATATCGTGCTTAACTTATCCATGCTTCAAAGATACCTATTCCATCTGCCCCATGTCATACCTTTTGAGCAAGTTAAAATAAGGCAAGACCTAACTTATGCGGAAAGACCGATCATAATCCTTGAGAGAGAGGTTAAGGAGCTAAGAAACAGAAAATTCCACTAATGAAAGGTTTTGTGGAGGAACCGTGGCATAGAGGAGGTGACATGAGAACCTGAAGAGGACATGCAACTTCAGTATCTACACCTCTTTTATTCATGTAAGTTTCAAGGACGAAATTTCTTTTTAGGAGGGAAGAGTTGTAACGCCTCAAAATACGGGTTAAGAGTTTTAGTTATTTTTAATTTTGAGCTTAGAATAATTTCCCTTAACTCATGAAGAGTTTGACCCAAGTGGCATTTGGTTTGTGTTTATGATGAGCCCAACAAGCTTTGAAAGGGATGTTTTTAATCTTGATTCAAATGTGGAGGGACTAGGAGGGTAATTAACCCATTACTTCAAAACAAAATTGAATCTCATTTATGGGGGATGATTTCATGTCTGTAAATACTCATCTTTTTCACCCCAATAGTTTGTCTACTTATTCTCTTATTCCTTATCATCTTCCTCTCCCAGTATCACACAAAGTT